TGTTCTCCACGGATCTAGTGAGCCTTACCCCGGCTAGCTATCAAGCTGGTGGGTAACAGACGTCTCCGAAAACGTCGGTGCACTTTTGCAAATATGTGGTGTCTTGATAAACTGAGCAGATGTTTGATGTTTACACAGCTACATTCTCTCTGAAAATATGTTAAACGTTTATTTTGTGACCCAGAAACAGTCATAAGAGTAATATTAAAACTAAGTAGCTGCCGCCATTGTTGGAAACTGGAATTGGCTGGGCTGCGCTATGAATCGGGTTTGGCAACAAAGGATACACCCGACCCATCCTTCAAATCTGGGGAAATGAAGAATGCATTGTCGACCACATTTGGAGGCGTCTTCGAATTTGGACAGCCTTCCTCCCATCGCTGTAACGTAATCGGCCTCGTACACAGCTACGATACCGGAGACTGCTGCTTCTTCTTCTTCTTCAGGGTTTAACTGCAGCTGGCATCCTTGTACATGCAGTGCTGCAATCTTCGGTTTCAGTCTGTTATTACACTGCTGTTTACCTACTGTTTATTCCTGCGTCTTTCGGGATCTTACAAAGTTTCAAACGACGCGTCGACTAGTGGTGCAACCGATCGAAAATCTCTCGGATCGGATCACTGTTTTAAGTCAGTGAGCTGACCATAACTATTGCTTGACAGACCCACCACGCGCTTTTTTTTTCTTCTTTTTCGAATCTTTGGATCACGTGCGTTTCAACATCAGTTCGGATTACGGATCAACCGTGATCTGCTGCCCCACTAGCGTCGACTATTAAATATGTTGTTGACGATTTTGATAGTCGAAGTAATCGTGACTAGTCGAGGAATCATGGCAGCCCTAGTCTGTAGCCCACATAATTAAACACTTTAGTTAGATAAAACGTGAGTTTTGATCTTATGTACTGTATAGCCTGTATAATAAATAAATATGTAGGCCAATAAGTACAAAATCCAGAGAGCTACACAACATGGGACGGTTCATTTACAAAGAAGTGGACAATTTTACAGAGCTTCATTAACTCTTCCAGTCACATATCCTGAAAAGGTTGAGTTAAATTGATTGTCCCCGGTGAATGGGAGGTGTCTGTTTACCTCGGAGATTGAGTGGCAGTCCACAGAGAAAAACTTTGGTCAGATCCGTCTTCATCTAATCCCAGCTAACTGAATTTTGTGTTTCTTCAGTGTTTGGCGGCATGATGTCGAGGATGTGCCGCTTCCTAACCACTGATGGGAACCACCTACGAGTGCTGGAGCAGATGGCTGAGAGTGTCCTGTCTCTAAACGTTCCCAGACAGCCTTAGATGTAAACTGGGATGGTTTGCATCTAAGAGTGAAGTTGCAGGAATGACAGTGAGCACCTTCAAGTCAAGGGCCGTGGTCTTCAGCAAAGAAAGAGCAGAGTCCTATCTCCAGGTCAGGGATGACTCGCTGCATCAAATGGAGAATTTTGGTACCTCAAGGTCTTATTCACAAATGAAGGGAGAACAGAGCGGGGTGTTGACAGACAGATTGGGGCTCTGTTGTTTTGAAGTAAGAGTTAAGCATAAAAGTGAAGCTGTTGATTTATCGGTCAATCTACCTCCCCACCATCAACTATGGTCGTGAGCTTTAGATAGTGACAGAAAGAATGAGATGGCAGATATAAGTGACAAAATAACCCTTCTCTGAAGGGTAGACAGCCTTTGCCTTTGTGATAGGATGAAGAGTTCAGTCATTGGGGAGGCATTTGGATTAGAGCCACTGCTCCTTCACATCGAAAGGAGGCAGCTGATGTGATTCTGGCATGTGATTTGGATGCCTTCTGGACACCACCTGCATGAGGTGTTTTAGGCATGTCCTGGAGGTAGGAGGCCCCAGGGCAAACTGAGTGCTTGGTGGAGAGATTACATTTCACAGTTGGCTTGGAAATAATTTAGTTTTCCCCCAGATGAGCTGGAAGAGGTGGCTGGCAAAAGGGAGGTCTAAGTTTCTCTCCTTAGATTGACCAAACCCATGACCTTGAACCTGGATATATAGGACAGGGAGGATGAATAAAAGGATGTTACATTAAACCAGTGGTTCCCAAACCTTTTTTTTTTTTTTGCTAGGCCCCTGTTTGTTTTACAAGAAAATCTTCGCAGCCCCCCGGCACAAACACATCCTCAAACCACACACAGCCATTTATTGTTTTCAAACTCCACTGCAGTTTCTTTCACACCTCAAACCTTTAAAAAACCAAAAGCAAACAAATAAAAGTAAACTACAATAAATTACAGGTTGCAACAAAATAAACTAATACCATCTTTATTTTAAGCGTAGTTGTTTCTTTCCCCCTTTGTAAGAATAATTTTTCAAAACATGCCTCTATGTGCAAAGTGGGTTTAAAAACATAAAACGTGATTTGGACAGGGGAAATGGGTTTTGGTTTAGACACAAATACATATGATTTAAAAAAAAAATCTTCTTGTGATCACACATACTTTTTTTGTGCCTCTAAAACATCCTTGTTTGTCTTTCCAGAACAGACATATGATGTCGTAACTGTCGGAGCACCGGCCTCTCACTGCCAGGGTTTCTAAAAATGGCGTTCTGAGGAAGCTCATCCAGAAGTTTGAGGAAGCAAAGAAACGGTAAGTTGAGAGTAAAGTCGGGCGTCACATTAGGGCTGGGCGATATGGCCTAAAATCCATATTGCGGTATAATTTGAAGCACGTGCGGTAACGATATATATCGCGAAATATTCTTTTCTTCTGTAGAACATATTTTCCACACTATATGACACACTTAATTAATTTGTGCCTATGTATGAATTCTGGTTGTGCTTACTGACCTCGAACCGATTTTGGCGTGCAGAAATCTGTTAAAAAATGTTTTAGTACAACTTTGGTAAGCTGCACTGCTTGATGGATTGTCAGAGCATTATGGCTGCCGTAGTGAGGAGCTTCACGGAGTAATCTGGGTCCAAAACTCCGTGGGCTTCAGCTCCCAAAGTCAAACGAACACTGAGAGTTAAAAACGGTCTAAATTCTTTCATCTTTAATGAAATCATCAACCTTGCTGCTTTACCAGGTGTAACAATTAAGTTTAACATCCATGAATCAATGAAAACAGAATTTATTAAATTTAACGGAGTTACAAGTTAACAGGAAGTTAGCTTGCTAGTTTCCATCTAAACATTTCATACCATGTTCTGACTGAGAGATTTTTAAACTAATTAAAACGTACAGCTCTGCTACCACTTCCAACATAAATGAAGACAGAAAACTAAACAGCAGTGGCGTTTGCAGGGTTACTGAAGTTGGACTACCTGGTATATAATGTTGTGCTACGTGATTGCTAGCGACACAGCTTTGTTAGCATAACATTAGCACAGTGAAGCTGGAGGATGAACGCCAGCTTCACTTTTTCCACTTGATAAAAGTTAACGTGAGGGACAAATGCAATCGCATAGCGATGACCTCTGCTCCTGTTTTGGGTTTTTATATTTTGCTTTATTCGTCTTGTGATTTGTATTTAAACAGTCGTTTTGGTCATCTTGTTTCTTCAATTTCTGCATTAATACTTCAGTTCCCATTTTATGGCTTCCTCTTAGTTTTGCTTTTGTTACTTTTCCAATCAGCGTAAATGAGGAGGAATGGTGAGTCCTTGCACTGCTTTGCTTGTTTTCATTTGACTGAACTAACTTCATTAGAGTTATTTGATATTGTATTTTGCACTATCCTACTGTATATTACTGTATTAGTAGTATTCTTATTGTATATATGGTATATCTTATTCCTCTGTCTCTCTTGCTGCATTGAGTATGTGTATGACTAAAGAATTTCCCTCGGGATAAATAAAGTTCTTCTTATCTTATCCTTAAGATTTGTACAACAAAGTATTTTCAGTTTTAAGCTGGAAGAATGGGGTTTTGCACAGCTTATCATGTTAATGCAAGGAAAAAAGGGCACGTAGCGCATCGGTGATGTGTTCACTAATAGAACTAAAATGTGTGTTACCTTAAAATGAGCAAATCCTTTGTCACAAAGTTGTATATGAATACTGCTCATTGTATACATTCAGTCATTTTAAAGTCTATCAAAAACATGTTTCTGTGCTTGGAAAGTCAAATCCTGACAATATTAATGAGACGTTTCTAAAATTCTTCTACACAGATGGTCTGAATTTGTGAAGCGAGTGGTATCGCATTTATCAAAGTCGGCTCCTCGTTGTTTTTTCTAAGCCACGATTAGGCTCATTGAGAGCAGGCATGTGCATGCAGACAGTGTTTGTTTTTACATCTGGTGGGTAACGTCCCTCCCTATATTTTTGGAACAGTACCTCTGAAGCTTGATTTAGATTTCTGCAGGAAATTTACGTTCTAACTTCAGATGTAACACCTCTTAACACTAAACCGGTCCATCACGCTGTTGTTTCCAGTTACAGCGTATATTTCCTGCTGAAGCATATTTCAGGCATAAGACAGAAACATTACAAAAATATACACCTGCAGGCCACTCTATTGTCTTTATTTGACTAAATGCACTAAATTGCTGCCACAAGCTTTTGAACACATGTACCTAATAAAGTGGCTGGTGAGTGTCCTCAGTCCCAGCTCGGATACAGATGTGTCGGTGTGTCTTTGTTCCCTGCAGTAGTGCCCTCTCCAGCTCAGTCATCATCCACATACCCCAGGACACTGTCCGAGCCAAAGAGATCATCGCCTACGTCAACACGCTGAAGACTCAGGTCAGCTATTACGCAGAGAGGCTGTCTCAAGCTGCCAAAGACCAATCGGCCAGCGGACTGGAGTGGACGCTCGCCAGTCTGGTTGACAAGGTACTAAAAGTGTTTGACGTTACGTGGGGACGCTTCATATTTCATTCATACCCTCTTCCTTTCAGACCCGTCAGCTGGTGACAGTGTGCGGCTGCAAACTGCTAGCTTCAGCTATTTAGGCCCTGAACGCAGTACGAGTACATCGCAACCAAAGCTTCTCCTTCCGCTGAGTCTGAACAAGTAGTGCTTCGCAATGACCAGGATATGCTGAGAGCAAAGTACAGCGGTCACAACAGCCAGTCGTCACTGCACGTGGACTGGCACGAAGAGGAGTGGGTGAGTTGATCAGCAGTTATTGGCTGTTTTCTGATTCCAGATTTTTATTTCTTTAGCATGACAACAGGGCAAACTGAGGGCTCGGTGGAGAGATTACATTTCACAGTTGGCTTGGAAATAATTCAGTTTTCCCCCAGATGAGCTGGAAGAGGTGGCTGGGAAAAGGGAGGTCTAAGTTTCTCTCCTTAGATTGACCAAACCCATGACCTTGAACCTGGATATATAGGACAGGGAGGATAAATAAAAGGATGTTACATTAAACCAGTGGTTCCCAAACCTTTTTTTTTTTTTTTTGTTAGACCCCTGTTTGTTTTACAAGAAAATCTTCGCAGCCCCCCGGCACAAACACATCCTCAAACCACACACAACCATTTATTGTTTTCAAACTCCACTGCAGTTTCTTTTACACCTCAAACCTTTAGAAAACCAAAAGCAAACAAATAAAAGTAAACTACAATAAATTACAGGTTGGAACAAAATAAACTAATGCCATCTTTATTTTAAGCGTAGTTGTTTCTTTCCCCCTTTGTAAGAATAATTTTTCAAAACATGCCTCTATGTGCAAAGTGGGTTTAAAAACATAAAACGTGATTTGGACAGGGGAAATGGGTTTTGGTTTAGACACAAATACATATTGATTGATTGATTGATTGAATCTTTATTTTGAACATGTTGAAAAAGTATTAAAAAAAAATAGAATTAAAAGAGACAAATGAACAAAGCAAACAAAAGGAAAACGAGCAACCACAACTCCAAATAACGTCCATGTTCAAAAAGGAGCAGGAAGAAGCATAAGCTTATTTAATCCCACCCCTTTTCCACTATCTAGTATCAATAGACTACAGAAATACCTCCTTGTAATTACATTATATGTTATGTGTAATTTTTTTTTTTTTTTTTTATATATACACATATATGTTTCTATCTATCCATACCTACGTATATACACACATACGCACATATACACATTTTCAATAACCCCATTAACACCTGAAGGATACACAACCTACAATTTTATATATATTTAATATATATATATATATATATATATATACACACATACATACACACACATACACATATATATATATACATATATATATATATATATATATATACATATACATATATATATATATACATACACATATATATATATATATATATATACACATACATATATACCCATACCAACAAACCCGTGCATGCGCACACACATGAAAATATTAGACAAGAACACCCTATCAAATCTCTACCTTTTCCCTGTACCCTGTAAAAACCATATCCTTAAACCGCTTTTTAAACTGCGCCATGCTTGGACATTGCTTCATATCTTTACTTAGTCTGTTCCACAGCTTCACTCCACACACAGAGATGCAAAAACTTTTTAATGTTGTACGGATACGAGGATGTTTTAAATTTAATTCCCCCTCAAATTGTATCCCCGTTCCCTTTTAGAAAACATTTTTAGAATATTGTCAGGAAGCAGGTTATTTATTGCTTTATATATAATTTGTGCTGTGAAAAAATGAACCAGATCTGTGAATTTTAGAATTTTTGATTTTAAGAATAGTGGATTTGTATGATCTCTGTAACCAGTTTTATGGATTATCCTTATGGCCCTTTTTTGTAATATAAAGATTGATGATAGCGAACATTTGTAAGTATTGCCCCAAACCTCTGCACAGTAATTCAAATACGGTGCAATCAGGGAACAATAGAGAATGTGGAGTGATTTGTGGTCCAGAATGTGTTTTACTTTACTCAAGATTGAGACACTTCTTGAAATTTTGTTATGTATATGATTTATATGAGACTTCCAGTTTAATTTATCATCTATAATCACACCAAGAAACAGTAAGTTGAGAGTAAAGTCGGGCGTCACATTAGGGCTGGGCGATATGGCCTAAAATCCATATCGCGGTATAATTTGAAGCACGTGCGGTAACGATATATATCGCGAAATATTCTTTTCTTCTGTATAACATATTTTCCACACTATATGACACACTTAATAAATTTTCTCAAAAATCGAAAGTGTGCCTATGTATGAATTCTGGTTGTGCTTACTGACCTCAAACCGATTTTGGCGTGCAGAAATCTGTTAAGAACTGTTTTAGTACAACTTTGGTAAGCTGCACTGCTTGATGGATTGTCAGAGCATTACGGCTGCCGTAGTGAGGAGCTTCTTAAATGTTGGTTTAGTGTAAGCTCAGCTTTTTAACTAATGTAAGAAGTGTTATAACTGACTCGTTTTTAATACCTAAATCTGGCCTCAGTGCACAAACCTAAATGAATCGGTACATATGAAAGCGCCCAAGTCACGAGCTGAGTTCAAGGACATGGATAAAACAAAAAGGTTCAAATTTGTGCCCAAAAACCCCACAAATCAGTGTCACTGTTTTAAAATCTGCTGCGAGACTGCTCTAAATGTCAGCTTTTTCTTTACGTAAAGACTGGGGTCTGTAACATATCAGCTCGTTTCTTATTTATTAAAGAACATGCCTGACACCAGGCTTTTGAGTCAAACGGCTCCATTAGATCTCTGCAAGTATTTTTAAGTATTTTTAGGTTCTTTCCAGCAGGATTTGTGGCTAGTTCTGGAGCTTGACCCTAAAAGATTTCAGTGTGTCGGTGCTTCTGCTTTCCCTGTTGTCCTTCTGTTCCGTCTTTTTTTCTGTTTCTGTCAAATTTAAAAACAACTGCACTCTGAAATACACACTCTTTGCAAGATGTTGTCTAAACTAGTGGTTGGAAGGCATATTTGTGTTTGGTCTCTGATGGTTTATTTACACTTTTTGCAGGCCACGCCCACGGACTACAGCGCCATGATGAGCAACAAAGCCAAGAAGTCTATTGACTTCCTTCTGATGCAGGACACCGCCCCGACGATAGCCACGGACGTGTCACTGCAGTACCGCCTCGACATCGTCTTCTGCCAAACGGTCACCTACACATATTTTAATTATTGTATGTCTGAGCTGATGCGTTTATCCTGGAGTGACTCAGAGTGAAGGAGAAGGCCAAGAAGAAGTGTAAATATCATAGAAGCAAGGAGTTCAGAGCTCTACGACTTAGTGTCTTTATGGTATTTATGTGTGTAATGGAGACCAGGGGTTCCATTACCCTTACTTGTATTTTTATTAATTGACTGACTGATTTGTATTTAAAAACCGTAATGAAGAAAAACACACACTGGTTGATTGTGATTCTTTATTAGGCTTTTTGGGTTGTTATTTAAGTGACTCGTTAAAGGTGAAGAGACAGGGGGACTGGCCATCCTACCTGTGTCAGGAAAAGAACCTGTGTTAGAGCTGTTCACATTTAATCATTTGTCTGTAACCTAAATTAGTTGTATATGTAAAAAGAGAAGTGTTAACAGTACTCACTTTGTAAAGAGTAAAAGCAGCTCAATCACCTGCTTATGAGCTCCTGGAGAAAACCAATGTGCCAGGCTAGGGGAGTGTGTGTTGGAGTGATTTTGTTAAAAGTTGTCATTATTGTGCTTGGACCTTGTCTTGAACTGTATGTTCAGATATTTTCTGTTCCTCCCCCACATGTAGGATGTTGGGGATGTTACTAGCTATAGTTTTCAACTGCAGGCACAATCTATGTAAGATTCTGGTTTCCTTATTTGGTAAGGAGTGTTCACTTCCTGCCCTTTATGGGCTCACCATGTAAATGGTGGACTGTTAAAGAGGTTAAGCCATATACGAGGTTGAGGGGAGATGACCCTTTTATGACTAGAGATGCGGTTAAAACGTTTGTAAGCAGGAAGTCACGTATACAGACACACATACACTCTCTCTCACTCACACACACACACACACACACACACACACACACACACAGTGCCTTAGCTTTTACCACACAACATATGGGGTTTACAATGGGCGGTTGTGTAACTGTTTTCATTCAATAAAAGGCTGGAGTTGGAGTTGTCTGAGTTTGGGTGTAGAGCTTGCAACTCTGAGAATCCGACCAGGCTTCCCCTGCACAAGTAAAAACCAATCGAGCTCTGATTGTCTTACTTTGTTCTGAGTCAGCGAGGGCTGAAACCTAACTGTGTGGTTAAGGTGTTTTAATAGAGACTCTTGGAGAGCTTGCGCAAGACGCCTTAGCGAATCATCTCGATTTTAAACCTCCGTTAACATCTCACCATGGGATCCAGAGCGTCCAGATTACTCAGAGAAGAGGAAATTGAAGAAATTAAGAAGGAAACTGGCTTTTCCCACAGGAAGATCACTCGCCTGTACAGACGTTTCACCAGCCTGGATAAAGGGGAAAACGGCACCCTCAGTCGAGAAGATTTCCAGAGAATCCCCGAGTTGGCCATCAACCCTCTGGGAGATATAATCATCAACGCATTCTTTCCCTTTGAGAGGACCAGGTAAATTTCCGGGGCTTCATGCGGACCCTGGCTCACTTCAGACCAATCGAAGACAACGAGAAGAACAAGAACCCCTCAGCTACAGAGCCCCTGAACAGCAGGACAAACAAGCTGCTTTTTGCTTTCCGTCTGTATGACCTGGACAGAGATGACAAGATCTCCCGAGATGAGCTCCTGCAGGTCTTGCGGATGATGGTTGGAGTTAACATTTCAGATGAAAAACTCGGCAGCATTGCTGATAGGACCATCCAGGAGGCTGACACAAACGGAGATGGCTACATTTCCTTCAATGAGTTTATCATGGTCTTGGAAAAGGCAAATGTAGTTCAGAACCAATAAAACATTTAGAAAAATGTTTAAAGGAAGAGGTCGATAAACATAAGCCAGGCAAGACAAAAACAAAACTCATGACTGAGTACATGAACTTTTTTCAGCCATGGAAACAGGAAGAACAAAGGCGTGCTGAAAATAGAAAGCAGAAACAGTCTAGACAGCAACTCACATCTCAGGCCAGTAATAAACCACCAGTTCCACAGGTGGCCTGTTCACAACCACCACCATATCAGCCAGAACCCTCAGCCTCAGAGGCACCCACAACCACAAAAAAAACCCCAACGAATCCGTTCCTACCACCACAAGGCCCATACGCCTCAGCCAGACACCAATTGAATTAAATGTCTCGCGACGTCCCCACACACAAAGAGCAAGAAGAAATAGGGACAGATCCTTACAACAGGGACATGGGAGGACACGGTCACAGTTACCCCCAAGAATTTAAAACTGCTCACCCTCTCCACCGCCTCACTGCCAATGAAGAGAGGCAGATGGTTGTTATGACCCCTCTTCCGGAAATCTACAATGATCTCCTTGGTCTTTTTGGTGTTTAAGACCAAGTTATTGTCGTGGCACCATGACTCTAGTTGTTGCACCTCTGTCCTATAGTTTGTCTCATCATTGTTGGATATAAGTCCGAGCACTGTAGTGTCATCTGCAAACTTAACAATGAGATTGGACGCGCAGGAGGAAATACAGTCATGGGTGAAGAGAGTGTATAGCAGAGGGCTCAGAACACACCCCTGAGGGGCACCGGTGTTGACCACAAGGGTGGAAGAGGTGTTCTTACCCACTCTGACACTCTGTCTACGGTTAGTGAGGAAGTCCACAATCCAGTTGCACAGAGAGGAGTTAAGTCCCAGTTGGTGGAGTTTGGGACGTAGTTTGTATGGCCGGATGGTATTAAAAGCCGAGCTGTAGTCTACAAAGAGGAGCTGTGCATAGGTATTCCTGTGTTCCAAGTGCTTCAGTAATGTGTGCAGCACTGTGGCGATCGCATCCTCGGTTGACCGGTTCTCCCTGTATGCAAACTGGTGCGAGTCCAGGGATGGTGGAAAAGCAGCTCTGATGTGTTTAATGACCAGTCTCTCCAGGCATTTGGCGGGAATGGGGGTGAGTGCCACAGGTCTGAAATCGTTCAGACATGTGACATTTGACTGTTTTGGGATGGGAACGATGGTTGCTGCTTTGAAACAGGATGGTACCAGTGAACAGGACAACGAGGTGTTATATATAGAGGTGAAGACGTCCGCCAGGTCTTTTAGCACCCGGCCCAGCACTCCATCCGGCCCGGCCGCCTTCCTGGTGTTAATGCTCCGGAACACACGCCTCAGCTCATGAGTGCTCAGGACCGGAGCAGGGTCGGTTGAGGGGAGAGGGGACAGGACAGGGTCGGTGTTCTCCCTGTCAAAACGGGCATAAAAGAGATTTAAATCCTCAGCCAGAGTAGAACTGTCGGCTGAGGGTGATGGTGTTCTCCTTTTGTAGTCCGTGATAGCCCTGATGCCCTCCCAGACCTGCCTTGGGTTTGTGTTGTTCTCAAACCTGGGTGTTGTTCTCAAACCTGGCCTCGATACGCCTCCTGTGCTGCTGCTTGGTAGTCTTGATGCCTCTTCTCAGGTTGGCCCTGGCAGCACTGTATGCCTCCTGGTCCCCGGATTTGAAAGCGTTGTTCCTTGTTCGAATAAGTTGTTGAACTCCGTGTGTCATCCAGGGTGGATTATTAGGGAACACACGGAATCGTTTCCAAGTTGTTACATTGTCCACACAGAAACAGATGTAGTCCAAGACAGTGGAGGTGTAACTGTCCAATGCGACAGGATTGTCAGTGTCCTGCACCTTGAATACATCCCAGTCTGTGCAGTGGAAACAGTCCTGAAGCATCGGAATAGCATCCTGCAGCCATGTTCTCACGGTTTTGGTTGTAATCCCAGTGCTCTTGATCTTTTGTGTGTATATTGGGTGTAGCAGAAGGGAGAGATGGTCTGACCCAGGTGGGGATAAGCCTGGGCTCTGTACGCATTCGCCATGTTGGTGTACACCTGGTCCAACGTTCTATCTCCTCTGGTAGCACACTTCACATTACGGTGGAAATTGTGAAGTACAGATTTCAGGTCCGCGTGGTTAAAATCCCCAGCCGCAATAAAGACACTGTCCGGGTGTGCTACCAGGCTGTTATTGATGCTGCTGCTCAATTGTGCTAACGCTAGCTTAGCATTAGCATCTGGTGGAATGTAAACAGCGCAGATGTAAACGGCAGAAAATTCCCGAGGGAGATAGAATGGACGGCACTTTAACACCAACAGTTCTACCTCCGTACTGCACAGTTTTTCCGTTACCGTGACGTTCGTGCACCAAAGGTTGTTAATATAGATGCACAGCCCCCCGCCAGTCTTCTTACCCAAGTCCGCAGACCTGTCGGCTCGATAGGCGGTGCGGCCTGCTAGATCGATAGCCGCATCGGGAATGGCGCTGTCCAGCCAGGTTTCAGTGAAAATCATGCACGAACAGTTATTAAAAGTCCGTCGAGTGGCGATCTGCAGTCGTATTTCATCCAGTTTGTAACGGATTGAACGGGCGTTGGAGAGGAATATGATCGGGAGTGGTGGTTTAAACGGACTAGTCTTTAGCCGTGCCCACAGGCCTCCCCGCTTGCCTCTCTTCTGCCTCTGCTCGCAACGTCTCCTCCTGCGGCTTGCTGTTGCGGGTAGCCCCGGGGGTTGCTTAACGATCTCCGGGGGGATGAGATACTCGGATGTTAGTTGAAGATCTCCACGGCTTAGTTGTAGTAGATCATCTCTGTTGTATTGAAGTAACCCCAGACTGTGTGAAATAATACACAGTACCACCAAAAGTGCAAAAGTGTAGGAGCTCCGGGCCGCTGCGTCTGCGCGCCGCCATCTTGGTTGCTGCTGAACCTTTGAACCTGGTTGAGCAGTTGGAGCCTCGGTGCTATTTGGTGTTTGATGCTTCGGCTGTTAAAGTGCATCTTATCTTAATTTTTTGGATTCTTTCCTACAGTTTTAATACTTCTTAATGGTTTTCAGATCCTGATAATCCGAGCTGCAAAGCAGAAGGGCATCCAGGTCACATGCGAGGTCGCCCCTCACCACCTCTTCCTATGTGAGGACAATGTGGCGCAGATCGGCGACGGTCGAGCGCAGGTTCGACCCATGCTGGGAACACGCGAGGACATGGAGACACTCTGGGAAAATCTGGACATTATCGACTGCTTTGCTACAGACCACGGTCAGAGAGCATTCATTTTCTGTCACCAATCATGCAGACAGACTTGTCTTCGACCTTCCTGAACTGTACGGTTTTTGTTTTGTTTTGCTAGCTCCTCACTCTGTAGACGAGAAGAACAGTGAGCGTCCTCCTCCTGGTTACCCCGGTCTGGAAACAATGCTGCCTCTGCTGCTCACCGCCGTCAGTGATGGACGTCTGACTCTGGATGATATTACCAGACGTCTTTATGACAATCCACGCAGGATCTTCAACCTGCCCGTTCAGGAAAACACCTACGTGGAGGTAAACAGACAAACACAATTAAAGGGAATTCATTTTAAGGAGACATTATTTTAATGCAGTAATTAGCAGCCTATCTGTACTCTGATGAAATATGTTCCTAATTATTTATCAATTACGTGTCTTTCAGGTGGACCTGGAGCAGGAGTGGGTTATTCCTCAGGCCATGCAGTTCACTAAGTCTAAGTGGACTCCTTTTGAAGGTATGAAGGTGAAAGGTAAAGTCCGCCGCGTGGTCCTGCGAGGAGAGGTGGCCTACATCGACGGCCAGGTCAGCATTCGTGCGTTTTGCTTTTGAACAAGAAAACAAAGAGAATAAATGTAGTTGATCTAATAAAGTACGTGTCCTGTCTCCTTCAGGTGCTCATGCCTCCAGGTTACGGTGAGGATGTGAAGACTTGGCCCACTTCTTCCACCCATCCTGCAGAACCTGTCAAAGAAACTCCAATGGTAATAAAAGTGAATGCGGTAATAATGCAGCTGCCTTTCATGCTTTCTGTTGTAAGATAAAGACTCTACAATAATATTACATCACATTGGTGTTTTGGCCACCGCCATGATTATTTTTGGAGCCAAAATTGACCAGATTTAAGAAGAGAGTGAAGTTATCTGCCAACACTAACACACTTCTTTAGCAGCCATAGCCATGAAGAACGTGCACACAGCAGCAGATATCGGCTAGTTGATGCTAAGTAAACGTAACTGAAAGAAAACACTAGAATTTCATTCAACAAATTGAATAAAAGAACTTCTTAGATGTAATTAGTTTAAAATGCTGTAAAAGACACAGCAAGCAAAATCGAGAGGTTCAGATCAGTGATTAAAGTTGGTGTTTCTTCCATGCCTGAAATGTCTGGTAGGAGGCAAACAGCAGGTATCAACTTGTTCCTTTTGAAATGTGGAGGAAAAGCAGCTCCTCACTTTATTCCTAAGAAAGAGGTCTTAGACGCCACCGTTTGGAGGAAGCTCTTTTCCGGTGCTTATATCCCCGGTCTTCTTTCTTATGAGCGTAGATGACATCTAAAAAGTTCACAGAATTTGAACGTACAGCTAACAGAGTTTAATTACAAACAAAAACATTTAAAGCCTGTACTTAGAACTGTTTTGAGTGTTTCTTGAACTCCTCTATGTGGGGATTACTTGATGTGTTTTGTTTACATTAATTCTGCTCCATCAGACTCCTGAGCGTCAGCGTCCAACTCCACCCCGGGATGGAGTGCGGACTCGAGCTGCGAGCCCACGACGCATTGGTGGAGAAAGCCGCTACCTGCTGCCGTCCCGCATCCACCGTGCCTCTGATCCCGGCCTGCCACCAGGTATTACAGCTCCCAGAATGCTTTGGAACAGCAGTTTTTTGTTTTACCTCGAGGGTTTCTCCCAATGTTTCTACCAGTGTATTATCAGCCTGCCTGGCTGTGGTGGGGCGTGGTCTGCGGTGCCGTGCAGGGAGGGCGGACGTACCTGCACGGCATCCTTAATCACGCCCGCCTAGTTAAAAACACGGGGACTCAGGGGTTTGGGTGTGTAGTGGTGAGATGTAAATAAAGATGGCTCCGAATGATACTCCGTGGTCCCGCCGTGCCTTATTCTCGCCACACTGGCCTTAACAGGGGATTTTTAAAGCCTTCTTTAGGCAAAAGGTATCAATAAGTTGAAAGAGGGGTTAAAAAATGAAGCAGATGTTATCATATCATTTCACATGTTCAGCTGGTATGTCCATTAATCAAGTATGTCAAAACTGTTCATTGCCGTATAAAAACAAGTTTAATTAAAGTTGTTTGATGTTCTCCTGCTGATTCTCAGTGAAACACCTTTGCTGTGTTCCAGTCATTGATACACTGCGACTCTTATCCCCACAGAGATGGTCATGCTCCCACCAGCCGCTGCTGTTGACGGGTACAGCCATCCTCCCCCACTGTCCAGGCTGCTGTCCCCACAGTCTGGGTCAGGACAGATGCCTCCTGGTCAGGTGTCACACCTGCAGATGTCTCCTCTGCTTCACCCACTGGTGGGACAGCACATCTTGTCTGTCAGACAGTTCAGCAAGGAGCAGGTACGCCGAAGAAGATGAAACACACTCTGGGAATGCTGACAGGTTTAAAACAAGATCTCGGGTCTGAACAAAAGCTTATTTTTGTGTCCTTCGTTTGTTTCAGATCTCACACCTGTTCAATGTTGCTCACACTTTACGTTTGATGGTTCAGAAGGAACGAAGCCTGGAAATACTCAAGGTATCTCCTAAACGTGCCTCATGTTACTGCACTATTCACTAATTTCAGTTATGTGCTGTTACAATGGTGGATGTTCGTATCAAACATGACCAAAGTTATAGAATGATGAGGTACCTTAAAGTAATCCCTCATTCCTCATGCCTTCCTGTTCAGGGTAAAGTAATGGCCTCCATATTCTATGAGGTCAGCACTCGCACCAGCAGTTCCTTCGCAGCGGCCATGCAGCGTTTGGGCGGCTCCGTCGTCCATTCCAGCGAGGCCACTTCCTCCTCGCTGAAGGGAGAATCGCTGGCGGACTCTGTCCAGATCATGAGTGGCTACGCTGACGTCCTCGTGCTGCGTCACCCAACACCTGGAGCTGTAGAGGTGGATTTTAGATGGATACTTTTTTTTATTAAAAGTTTTCTTTACGTAAAAGAAAATAAACACTAATTGGTCATGAAAGTAACTGCAGCAGCACCCTGTTGTGTGTTTTTTGATGCTTGTTTAGTTTGAAGATGAGTTTTTAATATCTTACGCACGTGACTCCTCCTTCTCCTCAGAGCGCGTCCCGTCAGTGCCGTAAGCCGCTGATCAATGCTGGCGACGGTGTCGGGGAGCATCCCACTCAGGCCCTGTTGGACGTCTTCACCATCAGAGAGGAGCTGGGAACGGTCAACGGCATGACGGTGAGCGACATGATTCCTTTTTAATTTAATCTTCAGCCAGAATAAAACTTTACATGAAAACATGTTAAAACTGTGGCGTCTGTCAGATAACGATGGTTGGAGATCTGAAACATGGCCGAACGGTTCATTCCCTCGCCAAACTGCTGACCCAGTACCGCATCACTCTGCGTTACGTGGCTCCCAAAAACCTCCACATGCCAGCAGAGATCGTCAGCTACGTGGCCTCAAAGGGCATCAAACAGGTGAGGACTAAACATGGTTACACAGCAAAGAGGAGTTTTCACAAATATGTACTAAAAACTGCTAATTTTTAAAAAACATGTTTGTTTGCAGGAGGAGTTTGACAGCATCGAGGAGGCTCTGCCTGACACCGACGTCCTCTACATGACGAGGATCCAGAAGGAGAGGTTTGCATCTGAGGAGGAGTACAAAGCCGTAAGTTTCATTTCACCGACTGGTTTTATTTTGTGACACAGATACTTGCATATACTCACAGCGCATCTGTAGTTAGGCCTGGTGCTTCCTGCCTCATGCTGGCCCGGTAATCGTTTTTGATATCGTTCAGTTGGTCTCATGGTGACATTTTCCCTAATCCACTATTCTGCACTGCAAACTCCACTGACTCCATCTGGTGAAGCTGGAGTTTGTCTGCATTTGGAGTTCATCTTTAGTGGAAAGCAGCTGATTTGTTCAGTTATTCGTCACAAAGTTCTTTCCAAATGAAATATTTCTAGAGGCAAAACTATTAAATAGAATTGTCTTAAGAAAACAAGAAGATATGCGAGAAAGAAGGCGTTCCCTCACCCCTCTACAGATGTAAGCGTGTGGGGAAATATGGAAGTGGAACCCTTTAGCTAAGCATTCATAGGTGCAGACAGAACCAATCAGCTCAGGTCTCATGTGACTGGATGATCCCGGAGTATTTTTGATCTTTAACTGTGACTCTGTTGTTTCTCTCAGTGTTTTGGTCAGTTCGTCCTCACTCCTCACATCATGACTGGAGCCAAACAGAAGATGGTGGTGATGCACCCGCTGCCCAGAGTCAATGAAATCAGGTGAGACGCGCTCAGTCAAATGTCTGACAACAATATCAGTTCCAGCTGTGTTGTTTAAATGTTGCTTGAGCCCTTAAATGGGCTGCAGAAATGTAACGTTTTGTGTACAATGTCTAATTTCAGTACGATTTCTTTTAACTAACTTAAATTTGAACTGAATTTTATTTTAAACCCACCTTACATTATTTGCTATTGTGTTGATTAAGTGGACTAATGATCTGTTTCTCTTTATTTCTCTCAGTGTGGAGGTGGACACAGACCCGAGGGCGGCATATTTCCGTCAGGCGGAGAATGGCATGTACATCCGAATGGCCCTGCTGGCCACCGTACTGGGCCGATAACTCAGTGTGTGTCACAGGCTGGGTCTCTGACCCAGCGCTCTGAGTTCATTTTGTATTTGTCTCATTTTAGATATGTGATTAGTTTGTGTCATTCCTATTTAGCTTTAGTTAAGGAAAGGCAGTTATTAATTATTGTTTCCTTGGTTTCTATGTTTGAGTTCTTGTATCGTTCATCACGTGTTAGGTCTGTTAAGCTCGTGTTGTCATGTCTAGTTTCAGTGTTTCCTGTTTTATTTTGAAGGAGTCGTGTGTTCTTTGTTCATTGTATTTAGTTTCACTTCCCCCGTCCTGTCATTAGGTTCATGTCAGTCAGCTGTTCCTCCATGTGTTCCCACTTCCCCTAATCACCTCCTGTGTATTTAAGTCCTGTGTTTTCAGTGTGTCATTGTCAGATCGTCTGCTTTGTTTGCAAGCCAAGAAGTTGCGTCACGTCTCCTCGCGGCAAGTCCATGTTCCTGTTGTAGGTTTTTAAGTTAATTTAGCTCACCCAGTTTAGTTTATTGTTAGCCTTGCATTTTGCCTTTTGTTTCCGTCTGCATTTGGGTCCACCCTTCACTCTACACACAATCAGCCCTGCTGATTGTGACAGTGTGCTGCTTCTTTGTCCTACAAACTGTCAGAGAAACAAAAATGTATCTTTTCTGAAATCTATACATTTCTCATTTCCTGCCCCCGAGGGGTGCAAGTAGGTTTAAATACTAGATTTAATACTGAGTTAAAGTTTATAACATGCTGCTGTAACACAGAACTTTTTTTTTCTCCAGTCACACAAATGTTTACTTGTTTTCTTTCCTGCTGTATTTCAAGATTCCTTTATTTTTACATGTCTTAAAACCATTAACATAATTAAAATATAGAACCAGAATCTGTCTTGTTTGAAATGGTTAAGAGATGATCAGTGTTTGTGCATCGATGAGCCAAATCGAGGAGCAAAGGGAAGAAATAGGAAGTGGGTGCTGCTATCGATGTCTCTTTTACATATATATATAATTTGCAGCTGCTGCATCTGATTAATGATGTTTAAAGGGACCAATGAGGATGTCAAAGAAGATAAATCCTGAATGCATTTTTACGTTTAGACCAATTTACTGGACCAGCTTCATCAGATGTTTGTTTGGGTTGGCACAGTCCTCTGAAAACCAGCAATGGTGGTTTACGCCTCGAGGTTTTTCAAAAGAAAATTTCTAACAAAATACAGAGAAAAAAATATTTTTACTACACCAAACAATCCGATTGATATTTTGTTTTAAAATGAGCAAAAGCAAAACTAAGTGTCTAATATATTTCTAGGTTACCGGAAAACCTTCATCATTCCAGCTCTACATGAGTATAATGGTACGATACGGCTTACTGCACATGTTTGTATCATGATTTCAGTCTGTTTCAGAGTCGTGACATCCTTGGTTGTATGAAATGGTTGTTTCCCTTTCTTCAAATGTGTTGCATTAACTGCAAGTGGAAACGCACAAATATCCTCAGAGCACAGTCTTTGATGGTTTTGGGGTAATCTCTGTAACTATCAGTAATTTCTTACACTGTTGACATAAACTTTTTTTTAAAATCAAAATACAAACGGATGTTTGTAAAGTGTCGAACGACTTCTGTGTCATGTGGAGAAATAAATAATGAAAAAGGATGTTTCTCTTTGTGGTTGATTTCATTTACAGTTTTTTCTGATTGCTTAAGCACATTTATTGTAACTATTGGCTAACTTTGCAAAACACACAAATAAGAAAACCTGTCACCCAATAATCAAAACATTGTAGTTCTCTTGCAAAAGCAAACACAGCTAGACTAACTCTTCACACCTTCGTAAAAATGGTGTTTCCGTATCAAACAGTACACACAAGCCATCATCTACTAAGCACACAATGCGCCAACTGCACACTGATGGTATGAATATAAAACACATCTGGCTTTTGCTTTCTCTGTGCACAAGGTAGGCTATGTCAGTTTGAGCTCATACTTCTGTCATAGATCCATAAGCATAGAGGGATCCAAACTTCAAGTACTGGTGTTTATTCAAACACATCAAAACAAACACAAGTGTTCATTTCCAAGTATAGGATTATTTGCAATCGCCATAATGACTATATGGGTTACTTGGTCTGCAGTGAACATGCTTCCTCTGCCCCAGCATCTGGTCATCTAGCAATTCTGTAAAGTAACAATTTCAGTATTTTTACATCAATGGTATTGGTGTGTTTCTCATTGGCATATGGCAGTGCTACAAATCTTTGTGCGAAGTGACTGTACTCACCGATTCTCATTTCAAGATGTCCTTATGGTACTTGCTACAGTGTAGCGGCTCGAGTTAGGCTGGACCCGTTGGCCAGCTACCCTCAGGGTCATTCCACGGTTGATTACATGGTCCACTATTGTAGCTCTGATGTCATCAGCAATTCTATTTCTTACTCTTCTTACCCTTCCTATCCCCCCTCCTCATCCTCCTCTCCCTCCTCCTCGTCTTCGTCTTGGTCCTCCTTGTCCTTGTCGTCCTCTTCATCCTACTTCTTCACCTCCACGTCCTCTTCCTCGGCCTCCTCTACTTCTCACTCTTTCTGCTCCCTCCATTGTACTCCGCACACACAGCTTACCTGTATTATAGTGCTTAGGCTGATTGCAAAGTGAACTAATTATCTAAAAAAGTTTTGACATGTGAAAGTGTGCCAGACAGTTGGCAAATTAGTGTTAATGATAGCCATACATGTGTATACTTTGCTAGGAGTGCATTGATCATTTGGAAATTGAGTGTAAAGCAGTGAGTTGTGTTTACAGTTCTGCAAAAAGAGTGCTGTGCAGTGAATTGTAGCTACAGGTTTGCAAAGTGTGTGTTACAAAATTGCAAACTGAGTGCAAAGCAGTGTTTGTGCTCTTAGTTTTGCAAACTCAGTGAGTGGTTTTGCTATAAGTATCAATAGTTTTAGAAATTGTGCTATAAGAATCACAGTTAGGGTTTAAGCATTCAGAAAAAACTTTAATACCCACAAATTATTTCAGAATTTTTAGTAACATAATTTAATGTCTTGTTTGGATCTTGTCGTTGTAGTTACGGATGATTGGTTGTGAGCTCATCCTGACTCAGTACTGGCAAAGGTCATGTCTAAATTGATGACTTGATTAAGAACAAGTTTCTCACTATGTAAATTATTTTAATACTTCAAAGCTCATTTAACAGCTCAAGGATCCACAAAGGTTTATATCTTCAGTATTGTAGTTAGACTAATGGAAATTGAAAAAAATGGCCATTGGTTTGTCAATGAGTTTTGCAACTAAACTGATTTTGCTTCAGGATGCATCTAAAATGCATTCAGGCTGGCTGTGTGGTGTCGTGGAAAAGTGGTACGTGCAAAAACCTTTTTTTGTCTGTCTTTGAGGGTGGGGGAAGACGCTTAATGTTTTTTGTAAGTATGACTAATGTACAAACACACACACACACACAAGAACAACAACATAGAAGAAGAAGAGGGGTATAGTTTACTACACGTCATAAAAACACAATCAATTATCTTCCAACTGCATCTTTCTGTTCTGACTTTAGAGTCCTTGTTTGTTTACTGAACCGTACTTTGGAGTCATACTGTTGTGATACTGGGGAGGAAAGGGTAAGGTGTGAGAGACTAAACCCTTACACACAAAACTTCAAAAATCATGTGTCATTGTAGATAAACTGATCTACAATGTGTTAGTAAAGAGTGACTTGCACTGCAAATTTGTTAAACCATTGCTTAACGGGCCATTAAGCAATGGTTTTAACAAATCTCCTTTAACATTCACAGTGACTAAACCAGCTGTCTTACCAGCTGTTATATTCTTTAAACTTAAAATAAACCCCTGAAATTAGAGTTTGGTGTTTTAAGTCACCTATTAAAAAACACGAGTGAACACTTCTTTCTCTCAGCAGCATTACTGAAGTGACACTTTGATGATGCTTCATATCACAGTCTTTATGATGGAAAAAAACATGCAGATGTCTGCACTGTCACTGTCATGAAAATGTCCAGAGCCAGGGTTCAAGCTTCCTCTTCAGTTATCATTGATCATTAATATGGAGGCCATAGAGCGTGCGCAGTGGGGACCGCGTGGCCCGGAAGTGCCGCTTTTTCGGATGAGCGAACGCGCGTGCATCAGTGTGCATGTGTGCGTCCTCGTACGTGCAAAAGGTGCCCTTTCTGGCCATCACTGGTGGAGGTGTGGGGGGCATGCCTCCCACCCCCAAAGGTGCCCCTTATATTCTTCTATTGTTAAAATATGTTATGAATACATAGAATAAAGACATTTTCCATCACAGTGTTATTGCTCATCAAGTCAAGCTGTTAAACCAAGAGGGTATTTAGAAGTTCTTTGAGAAAATTCTTATACGTATCAGAGCTTTTCTATTGGGATAACAGAGACTTACAGAACGTCAGGTGGTTTTCATGCTAGTTGTAATAGTGAGAAGAGATTAGTAGTATAACTTTGTAATAAAAAATAATATTAATAAACAAATGGCTTACAAATATGAATGTTTATTTATGTGCAGAAATGAAATGGAAAACAGCAGACTTAAAAATTGCTCAAATTAAAATGTAACGAAAACAAAATTGAGAACTGAATGTGGAAGGAACTAAACAAAACTTAAAGAAGAAACCCGAATCACAAGATCCAACAAATGATCAGGGAAAGATAAAGGAGGACAGGACTTTATATACATCGAGGACTAGTTGAGGTTTAGGATAAACACAGATGAAGACAATATGGGCAGATTGAGAAATAACAAAATAAAAAGTAGGAGTAATGTGAGACATGAAAGAAAAGTAAACTTCAAAGTAAAACAGGAAATAAAAAACTGAAGCTAAATTAAAGTGAACAGCAAGTGTTAGCAGGGTTTAAATTACATTTAACCTCCACATGTCTTCTGCTGAACTAACCAGGAACAACTTTTTGTTGTTAAGTTGCAAATATGTTAATAATGTACAAATGTTAGCAGAAATGTTTTTGTAAAATATAAATGTATAACTATATCTTTAATATCTATACCAGGCTTATGTGGGTACATTTAGATATTCACACTTCAATCAATCAATCAGAACTTTATTTGTCACATGCAAGTTGCCCTCCAGTGATCACATTCTGGAAACACACTGGTCTGATTTCATAAAGAAAATAAAGTTTCTATTTACATTTATTTATATAGTTTTAATGGAGGATATAAAGACGTGCTTCTGGATTTGAAACCAAATGTTTGTTATAATAATGGTATCTATCTAATAGTTTATGATAA